TTTATCTATGTGCCATCTCTCTTGGAGAAACTTCTGGGCATAGAATTTCAGGTCAAAGAATATAGCATGCTCAGAAACAACAGATTTTACCAAATTGTTGTTCACAAAAGATACATTTACTTACACTGCCCCAAAGTCTATGTTTTCTCACTCTAGTTTGGTCACGTTTCCTGGTTTTGATACTTCCTCCTGTATCCCATGGTTAAAGATATTCTAGCCATGGCTGCCTGGGGACACACAACAGATCCCTGTCTGTTCATCCTGCCACCATCCCCTCCAATCCAAACTACCTGTCCTATCTGTGTGAGTCCCAGGGCTTTCCCCACAGCATCTTACTGACCCTATTTCATGGAGTAGGAAGGAAACTTTATCAGCACCATTTGGAATACAGGGACCAGAGGTCAAGCGATTTGCCCAGTGCTCCCAGATGGATGAAGAACAGAGGTGAGAAGCCAGGTCCCTGCCTTCTCAGTGAGCTCCTTTCCTACCACACACCACCACCCAAAGATGGAGGTGATATAAATATGGGAAGAGAGTTCAAAGGGCTTTTAGCAGTTGAAAGCAATGCTATTAACAGTTACGTAAAAAATGCATATGGGTCAGAGACTGGGGGTACAGACGGGGCAGAATCCTCTCCCAGATTCCAGGAGCTCAGGGCTCAGTAGGCAAGAGGCAGATCCCTAGGTCATGTCAACTCAGGGTACCCAGAGCCGTGCTGGGAGCATGAGAATGTGGGAGGGCAATGTTGGGGTGGTCCCTGAGGATCATAGGAAGCTCAGGTAAGGCTGAGAGAAGGCCATATATGAGTGGACACTGGAGGATGAGGCTGGAAAGGCTGGGTTGGCCAGATGAAGGAAATGTGTTTCAGGTAGAGCGAATAGTGAGGGCCTCCAAAGAGGACCTGGCACGTGAGCTTGGGGCTTGTGAGCAGTCTGGTATGGCTGGGTGAGGCGGATGTCTGTGGTCTGCCCTGCCCCTCTTGTGGGCACAGCACCTGGACTTTCCTTGGGGGAACTAACCCATCCCACCCTCCTGGCTGTGGGATGGGCATGTGGCTGTAGCTGGCCAATCAGAATGTTGCTCAGGAATGAGCGAGGGACCAGGAGGCCAATGAGATTCACCTCGGGGATTTCTGTAGGATGATGGGGAAGAGAAACTCTTTCTACTGTGCTGCTGGGGATCTCCATGCAATAATTCTTGCCCAAGAGGGAAGCCAACCCAGAAGAGAGAAGAGCCAAGGGAATGAAAGAGACAGAGAACAGTGAGAGGTTTTAGTCCCTGGATCCTGGGTAGGATCTACCCTGAATTTCAGTTGTGAGCCCATCAATTCTGAGTTTTTATCTGACTAACTAGGGTTTTAGTCACTTGAAACCAAAAATCCAGACTAATGTAACGTGGTAAGAGGGAAAAAAGGGAGAGCGTGGGGAGATAAGGTGGATCAGCCATGAGGCTAGCTGGAGGCCGGGCTAGAACTGGGATGATCCTAACGTCTAAACAGGACTCGGCTGGTGTTACTGTGCCTTTTGGCAATAAAAGCTCTGCCGAGAGAGACACTGAGAGCAGGAGGGAGGAAGGGAAAAAAAAAGGGATAATAACTCGTCTAGAAACTTCAGAGCTGTTGGAACATCGTTCCTGGGATTTTCCCATCAGGATAGATGGCCTGGTCTGGAATCAGGGCCAAGTTATTAATCCGTCAGCCTTGATGGCATATAACGATTTATCTTAATTTCTGAAGATACGCTCATGCCTCTTAGACCAGTCTCTCTTTTCTGTCACCAAGAAGAAAAGAGATCTTAGCAGAGATTAATCAGAGGGAATCTGGCTGGGCTCCGGCTGAAACAGAACACCCGCATTTCAGCAAGGGGGGCGCCCGCAGATGAATGGGCTCTCCTGCTCCTCCCGGCTCTGTGTGTCTCCCTTCCTCTGGGCCTGAGAGACAGCGCACTGGCAGACGGGCTGTCTCTGGCTCCGGGAACTCGTTGTTCTCAGAGCCAGGAGAGAGAAAACCAAGGGAGAGAAGTGTCCCTTCCAGACCTCAGGAGCCTCCTCATTACACCGTCTCATTTCCCCTCGAGAGTGACAGACATAATTGGATCAAATGGAAACACGAGCCAGCCTCCCTCTCCCTCCCGGATGAGAGACTTCCAATATGGCTTCATTACCAAGTCTTTTGTAAATAACCGGTGGAGAAAAAGGCCAGTTGTTCTGCCATAATTGCCTGATGAGCATCATTAGAAGGGGCTTTGAAACACACAGAATGAAAATCATGTTGGATTTAGAACTTCCTTTGTGCAAATCTTTCTCCATTCCCTGTTCTCCCCAGAGGGAATTTCGAAAGGGGACTTCTAGACCGAGGAGCTAATTGGGAGTTTGGAGCCTGACTCTGGGCAGTGACACACCTGCTCTGAGTGTTCAACCAGCAAATATTTTATTAGGTGCCTTTTCAGTGTCAGACAATCCTTTAAGTACTTGGGAGAGAGTAGTGAGTAAAACACAAAAAGGTCCCTACCCTACTGAAGACTACCTTCTGCTAAGAACTCACAACTTGGATGTGCCCATTGCTGGGGACACATTTGGAAGAATGCCTTGTAAATCGAGCTTGCTTAATTGAAAGACTGAGGAACTGGGATGTTGCAATTCTTCTGATTCCTTGTGGAAAACGAGATGGCATGGGCTAGGGATACTAAATAAGTAACATACATACCATCACCGACCATATTTGCCCCCTGGCAGACATCACTAATCAATCACCACTTTTTTTTCCAGATGAGCCTGGATGCAGGGTCAGAATACAAATCAACACAGCACCATGGCAGCCCCGATCAATTATTCAGAGCTGGCTGAAAAGGAAACCCATTTGCTGCTTCTAACTTAGACTATTTTTCATTTAATTCAGTAAGCGGTGGTACAGTATCCAAGTAAATTAGGAATAACCCCAGGTAGAGGCAAAAACTGAGAAAAAAGGGGTAAGAGATGCAGCCAACGTCTTAGGCTAGATTTCTTCTCAACTGCTTTTGTCTGATGTCCCTACACAGGCACATAAAAAACAGCAGTCAGGGGGCAAGCAGTTGGCATAGTGATTAAGGTACTTGATTCCCACATGGCTGACCACAGTCCCAGATCCAACAGCTTGCAGCTCACTCTGGGTGCATGCCCAAAGTCCTGAGAGGAGAATGGAGGAGAAGGGACTGTGGCATGGCCATCTTCCCTGGGGGTGATGTCTTACTTTCTCTTTTTCTGTCTCTCTGGCAAGCTCACACACCTATAGCAAAAGTCTCTCTAGAAAAACAGCAGTTAGAGCACGGACGTCAGAGTTAGGCAACCTGAGCTCAGGCCCTGGCTTTGTTACTTCCAGCTGTGTGGGGCTTTGGTCTGGGCCCCACTTGCCTCCCCGGTGAAATGGCTAGAACCGTGATACCCGTTTCTCAGGGCTCTTACGAGGACTGACCCGTTAGCTCTCCTCAGGGCTGAAATTCAGCAGATACGCACCCGAGTGGGTGTACGCTAGCTCACAGCGGGCATCGTTCTGACTGTTGGGTGCTTGTGCCGCTCCAGTCATTCAGTATTTTGGACATTTCTCTGGATATTAGCATTCACTTTATTTAGGGGGTTGGTCCCCTTATGAGAGATGACTTTCAGAATGCTGGAGGTTAAGGCAGACATTGACTGCTTTTCAAACCAAAATAACATTTCAGTAGAATTCTAGTTTTATTTTTTTTTAAAGAATTATTAATTTAATTATGATGATTTTTGAAATTTGCTATAGGGCTCATAAGGTAATCAGAGAGAGACAGAGTGCATGCATGTGAGAGAGAGAGAGAGTGAGAAAACAAGTTTATTTTTTTTTAAAGAATTATTAATTTAATTATGATGATTTTTGAAATTTGCTATAGGGCTCATAAGGTAATCAGAGAGAGACAGAGTGCATGCATGTGAGAGAGAGAGAGAGTGAGAAAACAAGTTGCCAGATCTGGACTCGAATCACAGTCAGCCATGTGGGGGTCCAGTGCCTTAACCACTACACCACCTGCTGGGCCCTCAGTTGTCTTTTTGCTGATAAAAAAATTTATGTTCTGCAATTCCAAACTGTTCAATCTGTGTTGTACACAAAAATATTAATATATTAACAAAGATAATAATCTTTCGAATATCCGTTAAGAAGTATCTAACAAGCCCTGTCTCATGTTGAGCTAGCAACAGTCCTGTGAGGATTACAGTTATCATTAGGCCCATTTTATAGAAGCAGAAACTGAGGCTCGGTGAGAGTTTCTTGTTCAAGATAACAAAGCTGGTAGGAAGTGGCAGAGCTAGGATCTAACTGGGTACTCTGACCCTGGCGCTCAAGTCTGAATCACTGTGCTCGATAATGGGTCCCTGCACCGAAAGGTGATGCCCACTTTTGCTGCTGTGTAGATGAGAGAAAGCTCAGAGAGGAATCTAACTTGCCCCAAGTCAGGCAGCTACTGAGTGATGGAGGTGGGAGTTGAATCCAGGCCTTTATGACTCGACAATGAAGATTTTATCCACTGTGTCTGTGCCAAACTCCTGCACTGACAGATACAAAAGAGAAAGCTGGAAAGGATGGCCAGGAACCACCATGGCCAACTGCGGTCTCTGAGAGGTGGCCATTCTCAGAGCAGAGCATCCCTCTAGGCCCATGTACCTTGTCTGGCCTCCCTGGCTTCTGTCCTCACTGCTGGTTTGTGGGCATGTCAATCACAGACATGCCATCTTGATTAGAAGCGAGATCTATCCTAGTCCAACATCTTAAGTCAGAGATGTGGCTCAGACCAGCCTTGGTAGCCTGTGGGTACTCCCCCCATCCCCTTTACCTCCCACACAACCAGGAGTGACCAGGCCTCTGAGGAACAGAGAGGTGACAGAGTGCTGAGGCCTGTAGAGTCCTTCCTGGCTCAGAGACATGCTAGGCAGGAACCTGCCAGGACAGGGGCCCAGGAGCCTGTGCCAAGGAGAATGGGGCTCCTGGAGAGCTGGCTCACCTTGAACGAGATCTCATACTGCTCCCCTCCCCAGATCTCCAAGCCAGGGTCATACCCGCCCAGCTCCCAGAACCACTTCCGATCCACAGCGAACAGTCCACCAGCCATCACGGGAGACCTGTCGGAGAAGAAGAGCATGGCGTGAAGACGCAGAGTCCTGGCCGTGCCTCCTGTGCAGTCTGTCCTGCTGTTCTCTGGGGATGAGTTCCACGCTGCTGCCTACCGGGGAATCCAGCCAGGCCCCACGCCTTCCTGTCTTGTCCACCACTTCCCTTCCTCCGTACTACACCTTAACCAAGAGTTCCCTTACGTGATTAACACCTACGAACACATGCAGAATGAAATCACAGTACATCTTTCCCATTGGCCTTGTGGCTTTCTATATATATATATATATATATATATATATATATATATATATATATATATATATATATATATATATATATGTGATTGAGTGTGTTCAAGTATGTAATGAATTGTTTAGTACCAAGTATACATTTTGAGGAATGTACTAAGAGATTTCATTGTGCCAACATCTTCATGTGTATTTACACAAATCTTCATGGTATAATCTGGTACACACTTAGGCTATAGCCTATAGTCTATTATAAGGGGTCACTATCATATATGTGGTTTATCACCGAATAAAACATCAATATGCAGTGCATGACTGTGTGTGGCTTTATATATATATATATATATATATATACACATATATATACATACATACACATGGTGCCCTCTCACTGGTTTAAGCCAACAGATGGTGTAGAATCTCTTAGATAAAAAAAAAACATACAGCTTACTAGGCCCTACCCTCAGACCTGCTGAAACAATTGCTGGGGGATAGGGCCCGGGAGTCTGTGTTTTTGATCATCTCTGTGTTCCTTTGAGGATTCTTGCTCCGTAAGCCCAATTAGATGTTTGTTTTCCTGGTGCCCTCTCACTGGTTTAAGCCAACAGATGGTGTAGAATCTCTTAGATAAAAAAAAAACATACAGCTTACTAGGCCCTACCCTCAGACCTGCTGAAACAATTGCTGGGGGATAGGGCCCGGGAGTCTGTGTTTTTGATCATCTCTGTGTTCCTTTGAGGATTCTTGCTCCGTAAGCCCAATTAGATGTTTGTTTTCCTGTGGAGTTTATAGAAGCCACAGGGTCTGCTCTCTCAGTTACATGGGGAGAGGAAATTAACCCCATTTATTCATTCTTATTGGTTTCATCATTGAGTGCCAGCTGGGAAGCAGGTGCTGGAAGAATACTGAGGTGACTCCGAGTCCTTTGGGGGATGCCAGTGCAGTAGGGTGACAGTAGTAGTAGTCACCTCAGGACAGAAGGACCCAGATCAGGTGGGGTGTAATCAGGGGGCTCTAGGAGGTACAGACAAGTCACCCAAGGGCTGAGAGAGGGTTGTGTGCTTCCGGTGTTTGCAAGTGAGGAGAAAGGCTGGGGCCAGGGTCAGGGAAGGATGCTCAGGGGAGGTGATATTTGAGTGAGGCTGGACCAGAGGGTGTGGGGAGGAGGGGGAAGGCATCTGGCAGGAGAAAACAGCACCAGCAAAGACACAGAGACATAAACTGTGCAGTGCCCGAGGGGAGCAGGAAGTCGGCACGGCATATTGCTAAGCCCGAGGGGGTGCTATGCTGCTGCCTGCTGGAACTCTCCATGGTGCCTCACACAGGGTGGCACCGGGCAGGGGCACACCAGTGTCTGCTGTGTGGAAATCTACCAAGACGGGCTGTGTCCTTGTCTGTCAAACCACAACATTCCAGCGGCAACCTCCACTCCCCTCTGGGCCCAAGAACTGCAAGCTCATGGGAAGTGGTCTGATTTAGACAGACCTCAGTTAACCCGCACATGCCCAGAGCCTCCTATAGCACATGAGCCTCAGGCTAGCACAGGAGGGGACTGCTTTGCAAGGAGATCCCCTTGGCTTTTTGCTGAGGGCTTGGACGTGCCAGGTGCTGCACTTTAATTTGCTCATGAAACAAATTTCCTCCCCACTCGACCTCATGAGGTAGGCCTCCTTATTACCACCCCCCATTTTACACATGTGAAAACCACAGCAGGGACAGGTGGCTGCTCAAGGCTCCATGACTACCAAGCAGTAGTGCTGGGGTTTGAATCTCGAATCTAAGGCACGGCCCACACTCCCCACCACCAAACACTGCCTCCTTCAGAAGGAGAAATCCAGAAGCAGGAGATGAGCGGAAAGGAAGGGGTTCAGGGTTTGGGAACTTTCCCAGTGTCTGCTCTCCTGAACCTGCTATGTGACCTGAGGTGAAGGGTTAACCATTAACCCTGAGCTGCCCAGGGTAGCAGCCACTGGGCACAGGTGACGACGGAGCGCTTGAGGTATGACTGGTCTGAATCGTGATGTGCAGAGTGTAAGACGCTCACTGGCTTTTCAAAGCTTAGTATGAAGGAGAACGTACAAAAGACGTCATCAATGATTTTAAAGTGTTGGTTACGTGTTAGGATGGTAATATTTTAGGGGCCAGCAGGTAACGTGGTTAAAGTGTTGGGCTCACACATGGCTGATTGTGGTTCAAGTCCTGGACCTGGTGGCTTGCTTTCTCACATTCTCTCTCTCTTTTTTTTTTTTTTAGAGGTTTTTGTTATAGGGCGCGTGCACTTGCCAGACAGACAGAGAGAGACAGAGAGACAGAAAGCAGGAAGTCACCCCCCATGGGGGATGGCCACGCCGCAATCCCTTCTCCTCCATTCTCCTCTCGGGATCTTGGGCACGCACGCACACACGCCCGGCGTGAGTTTAAGCCACTGGGTCCGGGACTCGAACCGTGGTCGACTACGTGGAAGTCCAGCGACATAGCCATTACGCTAACTGCTGGTCCCCTCTCACATTCTCTCTTTGTGTTTCCCTCTGGTGAGTGCATATACCCTGTAGCAAATTTAAAGAAAGAAAGAAAGAAAGAAAAAGATAAATAAAATTAAATAATTATTTTGAAAAATATGGTAATATTTGAGATATACTAATTTAAATAAAATATATTATAAAAATAAATTTAACCTGTTTCTCTTTACCTTTTTTAAACATAACTACTAAGGCAAACAGGTGGCATAATGATTAAGGCACTGGACTACCACATGGCTGACCATGGTTTGAGTCCCAGACCTGGAGGCTTGAAAAATCATGCTGGTCATGTGTGCATATGTGCCCAAAATCCCAGGGGGAAAATGGAGGAGAAGGGATTGTGGCATGGCCATACCTCCAGGAGCATAATTTCTCACTTTCCCTCTCACTGTCTCTTTCTGTGGCAAGCGCACATGTCCTACAACAAATCCTTAAAAAAAAAGGTGCTACCAGAAATTTTAAAATGACAAATGTGGGACCAGCAGGTGGCATGGGGTAGAAGGGACTGTGGCATGGCCATCCCCTCTGGGAGATGATTTCTCACTGTTTCTCTCTCTGTGGCAAGCACATGTGCCCTATAACAAAAAACAAACAAACAAACAGCAAAAAAACAAACAAAAAATAAACAAACAAAAAAACAAACAAAAACAAAAAAAACAAAATAAAAACAAATAAAACAAAGTCAGAAAACAACAAACCACCCCCAAAACTACAAAAAAAATCATTAAAAAGAAAATAACGAATGTGGCTTGCATGGTACTGGATAGTGCTGATCCAATGGGGGGCCTGATTCTCCATGTCCACGTCGGAGGTGTAGCTACACTTCCCATCTCACACTGCTATTGATAGTTATTTCTGAAAGTCTCCAGTACTAATAGAAAATGCAGTGGTGTTAGTATCGACTCCCCTCAGTCTTCTGAATATCGTGGGCTCTTGGGTTTGGGCTGGAGTACTAAATGCACTGCTTGGAGAGGCACAGCGATTCTGACTTGGTGCTTTATGGGAAATCGACCTGGGTGGAGCCAGCAGCAGGGGCTGCATGGACAGGTAGGTTATTAGCCCTAAGGCGTTCTGGATGCTCAAGGCTTTGCCTCTGAGGGAGGCCTCTCCTCCTGGCCTCCTCTGTTTTCTGCCATGTTCAGAAATAACCATAACAACTCCGTCTAGTGTGGGCCACTCACTTTACCAAAATCATCTCCCGCTCTCACAAAGCCCTATTACTAGCCCCCTTTTCAGATGGGGAAATATGGAACTCACAGATGCGGCCCAATCTGCTCAAGAGCATGCGGCCAGCAAGTGGATGAGCTGGACTTCAAACCAGGGTCTGCCACCCAAAGCCATGTTTCTCAGACACTATTACTCCATGCCTCCACACTGCCCCTTGCTGGGTCACGGAGAGGAGTGCAGAAAGGGACCAGGGTTTCTATGGTGGCCACTTGCTGGGGTTTTGTCCACATTCCGTACAGAAGAGAGACTTCTGGAAGGAATTAGAGGGGACCAAGGATGGAGATTCCCTCAGAAAGCATCTGGGGCTCTTCACCCTGACACAAATCAGCATTGTTGGGAGTTTTGAAAAACAATGATGCCCAGGGGCCAGCAGGTGGCAGGGTGACGAAGGTACTGAATTTTCACATGGCTGACCACAGTCTGAGTCCTGGACCCGGTAGCTTCAAAAATCATGCTGGCTGGGGCCAACAGGTGGCATGATGGTTAAGGTGCTGGATTCCCACATGGCCAACAGTAGTTCAAATCCTGGATCTGACAGCTTGTTTGCTCACTTTCTCTCTCTGGTCAACTTAAAATGAAATAAGTAAATAAAATTGAAAAAAAAATTTTTTTTAGAGAGGTTTTTGTTACAGGATGTGTGTGCTTGTGGAGAGAAACAGAGAGAAAGTGAGAAATCACCCCCCACCCCCCAGGGGCGATGGCCATAATGCAATCCCGTCCCTCCATTCTCCTCTCAGGATTTTGGGCATGAACATACATGTACCTAGCGTGTTTTAAGCTGCTGGGTTTGGGACTTGAACCATGGTCAACTATGTGAGAGTCTAGTGATATAACCATTATGCCATCTGCTGGTCCTTAATAAATAATTCTTTAAAAAAATCCTGCCACGGGACCAGCAGTTAGTGTAATGGCTATGTCGCTGGACTCCCACGTAGTCGACCGCGGTTCACGTCCTGGACCTGGTGGCTTAAAACTCACGCCGGGCACATGTGTGTGCATGTCCAAGATCCTGAGAGGAGAACGGAGGAGAAGGGATTGCAGCGTGGCCATCCCCCCTGGGGGGTGATTTCTTGCTTTCTGTCTCTCTGTCTCTCTCTGTCTGTCTGGCGAGCACATGTGCCCTATAGCATAAAAATAATAATAATAAAAAAAAACCTCTCCAAAAAAAACCCAAAAACAAATCATGCCAGGTGTATGTGCATGTGTTCTCAAAATTCTGAGAGGATAATGGAAGAGAAGGTACTGTGGTGTGGCCCTCCCTCCTGGGAGGTGATTTCTCATTTACCCTCTCTCTGGGAAGTACATGTGCCCTTTAGCAAAAACAAAACAAAACAAAAAACCCAAAAAACAAAAATGAAAAATTGAGGCCCATTTCCTACCCAGACTCTGGTGTAACCGGTCTGGAGGGTGACCAGCTCCTGGTAGATGCCAATGTGCAGCCAGGGCTGATAGCCTCTGCTCTAGGCTGGGCCAGCCCGTCGACCAGCTGAAGAGACTGACGCCCTGGAGGACAGTGGGCCTCTGCCACCAGCCAGCTGCACGTCCTGGACTTCACTTTTCTTTCTTATTTTTAAAAAATTTTAGGTGGGCAGCAAAATATGGAACACTTCAGGAATTTGCGTGTTATCCTTGCACAGGGGCCATGCTAACCTCTGTATCGTTCCAATTTTAGCATATGTGCTGCCGAAGTGAGACTTCACTTTTCTTTCTTATTTTTAAAAAATTTTAGGTGGGCAGCAAAATATGGAACACTTCAGGAATTTGCGTGTTATCCTTGCACAGGGGCCATGCTAACCTCTGTATCGTTCCAATTTTAGCATATGTGCTGCCGAAGTGAGACTTCACTTTTCTTTAGTGTGCAGTGAGAACACAAATGGGCCACCACCCATCCTAAAGTCCCCTCTAAATCTGGCGCCCATCCGTCTGCTTATGGGAAAAAGTCCAATCTCAGGGTGGCTTCTAAATCCCCCTCCATTGTCCTGGAAATTCCAATTTCTCACGTGGTCTGTTCCAACCTTGGGTTCTGCTATTGCGCCATCTTGGGCAAGTCTTGTTTCCTCTCTGAACCCCAGGGTCCCCATCAACCGGATGGGGATGTTCTATCTATGCCTGAAGACCAGGATGCGATGATCATGCACAATAATGTCAGTTAAAATTGCTTTGCTAACTCAGGCTAAATGTCAGTTAGTCCCTATTAGTGTCATCTCCAAGACTTCACCTCCACTGGGGATTAGCTCTGAGTAGGGAGGGTGTAGACTGACTGTATGATATGATCTTGGCTAACTCCTGTCTTGACTCTAACAGCAGTGACTGACCATGCTTATGATAAAGGAGGTCAGGAGAAGACCAGACACCCAACTAGTGTAGACAATGTAGCATCCACCCATGCTCTCCATTCTGGGCTCTGGTTGCTCCATCCCTCCAGTAGCCTCTTGCTTCCTCTGAGGAGTCTGCCACTTCCTACTTCCAGGCCTGAGAGAGTTAAGAGCACCTCTTAAGTCCCCTGGGTATGTACTGTGCCATGAAGATGCCTGAGCTGCCAACAGCTCTGCTTCTCAGATGCAGAGGGTAAGACACAGAGTAACTGGGGTTCACTGGGGACCAAACTGTGGTGAGGCAGGTGTGCCCCCAGCCCCCAAAGATGTCTAATCTCTGGAACCTGTGAATATGTTACCTTACACTGCAAAGGGCAATTTGTAGATGTGATTCAGGCCACAGGTCTTGAGATAGGGAAGTTGTCCTGGTAAGCCCAATGGGATCACATGGAATCCCAAGGGCCTGTGGTGTAACAGGAGGCAGGGGAGTCAGAGTCAGAGAAGGAGACATGATGGCGGAGGTGAGAGGGAAGGAAGGAGGGACAGGAACAGAGAGGTTTGAGAGGCTGTGCTTCTGGCTTTGAGATGGAGGGAGGGGCCATGAGCCAAGGAACGTGAGGCAGCCTCTGGAAGCTGGAAAGGGCAAGGGAAGGGACCCTTGCCTAGACACTCAGAGGGACCAGCCTTGTCAACACTGTAACTTTAACCCGGTGAGACACATGCAGCCTTCTGACCTCTAGAACTATAAGAGAATTAATCTGTGTGGTCCTAAGCCACTGGTTTATGACCATTTATCCACAGGACACAACACAGGAGACCCCGTGCTCTGGCTTTGTATGGCGGCCTTGCACAGCTCTGGGAGGTGAGCTAGAACGGCTCTACAACAGGTGCAGGCATGGCTAGCAGATCTTCAAAGCTTGGAGTATCACAGAGGGACTGGGCTCGACTTCTGGCTTAGCCATTAACTCACTGTCTACCTCAGGGCAAGCCCCCGCTCCTCCTGGGGCCTCAGTCTCCTCATCTGCAAGGGGCTGAACCCTTCACCTGTAGGTCCCTTCTGGGTTTCACATTCTAGGATGCTGAGCTCAGTCTCTCCCTCTCAGTCCTGATAGACTTCCACCACGGGGCAGGCTATTATTCCCCAGAAATGTAAGAGTGAGTAATAGAATGATGAGCAAAGCGGCTCTAGAGGCGGAGACCTGCATCTGCACTGAGCCTTTGCCATTTCATAGCTGTGTGACCCCAGGAAGTCACTTGGTCTCTGGGAGCCTTGGTGTCCCCCACTTGGAAAACATGGGTAATAGTTTCCTGCACTCGTGGCTTCTGGGGGCTAATGAGGACCAAGGTGTGATGTGCTCAGGCCTGTACCTGGCACCTCCTGGTGGTGATGTCGATGATGGTGACAACTGGGTGCCAGGCTTGAGGACGAGAGCATGAGAAACTCTGCTCACCAACGCTGGCAATCGTGGCACACTGCGCCCGCCAGCGTGGTGGTCCTTGAGCCGAGGCTTTGGGGCAAGCTGGGAGGGCTGGTGCTTCTGGTTGGGGATGTGTGTCACTTGGTGCTGAGCAGGGCCAGGACACCTGACCCTCTGCACTGGACTTCGGGGGTGGTGCCAGTTCTGAATGTGTGCGTGTTGGGGAGGGTCCATTTCACTCACCGGGACCAGCCTGGGTTGCTCATACTTACTCAAAGGGGTCGCTGGAGTCAGCCTTCTGCAGCTCTGGAGGGATCGGGATTCGCTTGTAGTACATCTCCCAGTCGAAGGCACCGCGCATGGCGTCCCCCGCCTGTGTCTCATACCGGAAGTCATCGTGGTCAATCACATCGATCATGGGGCACACGATGGTCTTACGGTTTCGAGCAATGCGGTCTGGAGAAGCCAAGAGATGTCCATTAGGTGAGGCAGGGCGGGTGGAGCAGCGAAGCACACAGTCCTCGACCCTATTCTGCAGCTTAGTTTTTTTTTTTTGGAGAGGTTTTTGCTATAGGGCACATGCACTCACCAGACAGACAGAGAAAGACAAGAGAGACAGAAAGCGAGAAATCACCCCCCAGGGGGGATGGCCACTCTGCAATCCCTTCTCCTCCTGGGATCTTGGGCACGCACATACACGCGCCCGGCGTGAGTTTAAGCCACCGGGTCTGGGACTCGAACCGCGGTCGACTATGTGGGAGTCCAGCGACATAGCCATTACGTTAACTGCTGGTCCCTGCAGCTTAGTTTTTTAAAAATATTTTTTATCGGGACCAGCAGTTAGCGTAATGGCTATGTCGCTGGACTCCCACATAGTCGACCGCGGTTCGAGTCCCGGACCCGGTGGCTTAAACTCACGCCGGGCGCGTGTATGTGCGTGCCCAAGATCCCAAGAGGAGAATGGAGGAGAAGGAATTGTGGCATGGCCATCCTCCCTGGGGGGTGATTTCTTGCTTTCTGTCTCTCTGTCTCTGTCTGGTGAGTGCACGTGCCTTATAGCAAAAACCTCTCCAAAAAAAAAAAAAAAGTATTTTTTTTTATCCAAAAATCCCTTCTCTTTTAACCGCAATCCCTTCCATTCTTCCTTTAGGATTTAGACACGTGTGCACACATGCCCAGTGTGTTTTTTGAACCACCAGGCCCAGGACTCGAACCTCATGTGGGTGATGTTTTTTCAGCCTTCAAGTTTGAGCATTCACAGAGAGCATGAGAGAGTACAGGCTTTAAATAAGGTGAACCATGGCTCCCATCCCAGTCCTGCCACCCAGGATGGGACCCAAGGCAGCAACACATGTAGTGGGTCCAGGCCCCAGTGTTCTCCTCCACGGAATGGGATAAGAAGACGCTCTGCTTCGTAGGTTGTTATGAGGACTGGATACAACAAGGTCTGAAAGGGCCCTGCACAAGTGCCTGCTAACTATCGGCACCACTGTGGAAAGAGACTGATTCCCTTCTGGGAGGGCCCCATTCTGTCTCACCACTGCACATCCTGACCGTGACTCCTGGCCCACAGCGGCCTGGCCACAGTGCTTGTCCCTCATGGCCGACTGCTCCTAACAGTCCAGTGGCACCCTGGCTGCGGTCAGTGAGCAGACGGCCCTTCTTGTGGCCATCTCAATTTTTCCAATAGTCACAACTATGGAGGAGAAAATAGACTTCCCCAGGAGTCGTGAGTTCCCCCATGGGAGGTATGCAAGCAGAGCTGGCAGACCACTGTCCTGCAGGCTGGCTTCAGTCTAGATGACTCAAGGTGGCAAAAGGAGGCCTTGAGCTAGAAGGCGTTCTGTTCTCTTTTCAGCCTGGGAGAAACCGGAAGTCGCTCTCTGCCCAACCTGCTGACAACTCCAGCCTTGATTTGCTCTGCCCTTCAATGCTTCTCCTATCAAGAAGCCCTGGCTGCAGCCAGGGGGTGCCGGAGAGCCACCAGGGGAGGTCTGCCATGAGGGTGACCAGGCTGTGCCAGGCTGCCTGGTTGCTTTGGGCCAGGAGTCATGTTTAGGATTTGGAGTGGGGGGCCTCAGAGGGTCCCAGCAAGACAGCATCTGCCTCGGGCCCAGGCTGTAGCAGAATATTTTTCTTCTAAGAGAGAAAGCAGCATTTTTGCCTTTTTTGAAACAGCAAGACATAATCCCTAGGTGGGTTGTGAAATCGACTGTGTGTATTTGTAATAAACCTAAAAAGAATGATGAATACAAGCTGCACTCCAGGTGATAAGGGAGACGTGACAGGTGTACTATTTCATGTTTTGGTCACACCACAGGAGTGTGTGTGCCTGGGCGCGAGGTTGGGATGTCCCATGTATTTCTAACTGTGGCCCATGGTAATGAAGGCTGAGAAAGGCTACTTTCCAAGGTGCAACCCCAAGTGTGAACCAGGGGCTGCCAGTGCCACCTGTACCTGGGATGTGTTTAAAAAACCCTGGCTGGCCTCCCCCTGCACCCAGGGTAGGCCTCAATTCTTCTGTAAATAGGCTTCCTGGGGATTCTTTTTTTTTTTTTTTTTTTTTGCTATAGGGCGTGTGCGCTTGCCAGACAGAGAGAGACAGAGAGCTAGAAAGCGAGAGATCATACCCCCTGGGGGTATGGTCATGCCACAATCCCTTCTCCTCCATTCTCCTCTCGGGATCTTGGGCACGCACACACACGTGCCCGGCGTGAGTTTTAAGCCACCGGGTCCGGGATGCGAACCGTGGTAGACTATGTGGGAGTCCAGCGACATAGCCATTACGCTGACGGCTGGTCCCTCCCTGGAGATTCTTAATGTTTGAGAACCTTCTCCAGGGAGAGATTCAGGGAAGGGCTTCCTCGCCTAATTACTCATAGCTGTCAGGGGATTTTACTTCCAAGGAGGTTCTGAGCTGAGCGTTCTGTGGTACTGTCCTCACTTGGCGATGAAAGCGTAAGTTCAAATCCCAGATGAGTCATGTATTAGCAGAATAATCTTGGATCAAGTTATCTGATGTTTCTGAGCCTCAGCTTCCCTGTCACCAAGATGGAAGCTATCTCGTGGGGCCTCGGTGAGGCCTGGGTGGGACAATAAGGCCAGGGTGGTCTGGCTGGCCGGCCCAGCACACGAGCGGCACTCAGCCGACGTTCTCTGTCACCAAGATCACTGAAAGATGCACAGCAGCAGGAGTTAGGAGACTGAGGAGCTCCTTTATTCTCCTTGCTCCTGAGTTGTTCGTATTTGCAAAATAAGGATAATGATGCCTGGCCTGCCGGCTTTATGTGCAACCAGCAGATTCAAAATGTGGACGTGGTCTGAAAAGCGGCGGCCGATTAGAGCCATGTGACGAAGATGATAATGATGGTGATGAGGAGGAGGATGGCAATGAAATCAACAGGGCCCTGCTTCGGGGGGCCGAATTCTTCTCAGGGAAACGAGCACTCTTCAAAGGCGGAGTGAGTGATGCACGGAGGTGCTAATGGCTTCACAGACAAAAGCCACGCGTGCTCTGGCAGGCTGCTGATATTAGCGCCCCATTTCTACCAGAAACACAAACAAACAGGGGGGCTGTGTTTCCTCCGTGTCCGTCTGCGGATTACGAACACTGCCCTTGTGTATTTCCATAGAAACAGAGTAAAGGGCTATTTAGACGACTAGCTGGGCTCGGCGCCCCCCACTTCACTCCGTTTATGAGTTGCTGAATGACCCTCCAAATGGGTTGTTCCTTCAGGACTATAAATTAGGCGGTTTATAGTGAGGCTTTTTTTTTTTTCCCTTCAGTAATGAGAGGCAGACGCAGAAGATCTCTTGGTTTAATTACATCAATACTTTATCAGATATTCTGAATTCTAGCCTTTTCCTAACCCAGTGCGGTACGGGCCCTTGGGGTCGGCGGCACACAATCTAGTAATAAAATGTTGATCTGTGTGAAAAATCACACCCACGGGGGTATCCCATTTTTTTTTTGAGAGGTTTTTGCTATAGGGCGTGTGTGCTCGCCAGACAGACAGAGAGAGATAGAGAGATAGAAAGCGAGAAATCACCCCTCAAGGGGGATGGCCATGCCACAATCCCTTCTCCTCCATACTCCTCTCAGGATCTTGGGCATGCACACACACACGCCTGGCATGAGTTTTAAGCCACGGGGTCCGGGACGCAAACCGTGGTCGGCTACATGGGAGTCCAGTGACATAGCCATTACGCGAACTGCTGGTCCCACGGGGGTATCCCGTTTGACTGCGTCCGTTTGCCTTCTGTCCTCAGCACTGAATGGTGGCATCAAAGCTTGGTCCCTGGACCAGCAGCACTGGCCTCCCCTGGGGGCTGGTTAGAAATGCAACCTGTTGGGGACCAGCAGGTGGTGTGGTGGCTAAGGCACTGGACATTCCTACATGGTCGACCACAGTTCGAGTCCTGAACCTGGTGGCTTGCTTTCTCATCCCCCGCCCCCTTTTCCTCTGTGTGTCTTTATCTAATAAAATTAGATAAAAAAATTCTTAAAAAAAAAAGCAACCTGTCAGGCCCCACCCTGGGCCTCCTGACTCAGGTACTCTGGGGTGGGGCCTTTGGGTGATTCTTGAGCATACTTGTGTTTGCCTTGACTTCATCATTTCTCCTTAGGCTATGTTTATGGGGTGCTTACCCTTCTATTCTTGGGGAGTTCACTTTTCTCTCTAGACTGAAGACTGCTCCCCAGTCTGCCTCCAGCCTGGCCTGGCATGCACCCAACTCCAGGAGGAACAGAACATTTCTTCTTCAGTGACTGCCTGGCAGCACGAGGTCACTGTCTTCATCAACACTACACTCCTCAGGATTCAGGCCAGGTTCTTCCACCAGCCAGGTGGCACCTCCCACCCCGCATTCAGTCCTGGATCTCCCTTCTGTCTCTGAGGCAATGCGGATGCTCCTGGACCCAGCTGCACTCTGTCTACAGCCCTCCCCTGGTATCTCTTAGAACTCTTTCCTAAGAGGAAAAGAATTTAGGGAGGCAGCCTGGGAGAGTGAAAGAGAGTTGGTGACAGGGCCCAGTAGACGGCATAGTGGTTACATCGCCGGACTCCCACACAGCTGACTGTGGTTTGAGTCCCAGACCTGGTGGCCTGAAATCGAACTGGGTACATGTGTGTGTGTGTGCCCAAAACCCCAGGAGGAGAATGGAGGAGAAGGGATTGTGGTGTGGCCATGCCCCCTGGGGAAGTGATTTCTCACTTTCCCTCTCACTGTCTGTCTCTCTGGTAAGTGCACGTGGTCAATGGCAAAAAATTCTTAAAAAAAAAAAAAGAGAGAGAGAGAGATGGTGATGTTTACACTTATGATACAAGGGGACAAGCGAGTCACTCATTATCTCCTTCTGTTACAACATGAAGGGGGTCCTCTATGACCTTGCACAGTTTGGTGACAATGCGAGGCCATCTTGTCACCGGCCTTGCTCACAGTGGCAGTACAATAAACAGTAGCTATTCTAGGCTGATGTGATGATGTCCTCCCATAAGTTGGCTCTTAACAGTGGATAGCCTTGACCTGCTTTCTGACAAGATGCAAAGCAATCTGAGCGAAGTGGTGTTACGATTCAGGCACTGGTCACTTCCCCTCTCTGAGTCTCAGCTTCCTTCTCTGTGAAATCAAAGGACAGGACTGGCTAGATTTTTAAGGTCTCTTTGAGAACTCCTGAATCTCTGAATGCCTCAGGGTACCTGGCTTTGTGCTGGGTGCATCTCAGGCAGGCAGGGGTGCTCCCTGCAGCAGCCTGGGGCCAGTGGTGGCTGGCTCCCTCCAGGCCACCTACCTCACCTTAGAAGGGACTCCCTTACCTAGCAAGGGGGGAAGCCAGTTGACATTGGCTTCACAGTGTGAGTCCAAGAATGTGATGACATCCCCAGTTGCCGCTGAGGCCCCCAGCATCCGGGTCCTTATCAGCCCTTCCCGTTTCTTGGTTCGGAGAATCCGCACGCTGGGGAAAAGGGCCATGTAGTCTTCAAGTGGCTTCTTCAAGTGCTCTATGAGGGAGACAGAAGAGAACAGAGAGATGCTTAGTAATCACTCTGTGACCCTCTTTACGTGAACACTGCACTTTAGAGCCCAGGCCCAGCTTTCCTGCACTCTGTCTCATTGATCCTTTCAGAGAGGGCCAAGAAAGGTGTAGATTATCACCTGTGTACTGCAAATGGGGAAACTGAGGCTCAGGGAGGTCCAGGGACAGAGTCCAGCATAGAACACAGTGAGATCTTTTGTACAAGGGTGTGAGTATTGGTAGTTTATGATTTTTATTTATTTTAAATAATAGTGACAGGAAGTAAATTTTTTTCTTCATCCATGATAGAGCATGTGTGCATACACACAAGAGTGTGGAGAGAGAAAGAGAAAGAGGAGCAACCTCCACAGGGCCTGGCCAGGATATGATCTGCTCCCTGCAGTCCTCCAGCCCATCAGATCCTGGGTACTTGTGCCTAAAAATACTGTTTCAGGCTAAGATGGGGATTTGAACCACGGTCACCATGTGATATCTAGCTTCTCTTGAGCAGTGCATCACCACTGTGCCACGGAGCCGGCTCCATCTGTAGTTTGGATGGTTGGGACCTATTCCCTCCTTTTTTGATAGTGATATTTTGATTTTTCCTTGGAACATCCCCCTCCTTTTTCAGTCCATCAGACTTGGTTGCAAGGGGAAGGAGGGTGTGACTCGGGCATGACCAACCAGGGCATTTCATTCCCCTGGCCACAGTGACTGGTTCAAGGACTGCCACCTAACCCAAGTTGGTGCAGATAATGATTCCTGAGAATGCTTTTAGAACTACCAAAAAATACAGCCTTTTCTTTTTGCTAAAAAGGTTAATACTATGGTCTGGATAATGGTTTGCTCCCCAGACGTTTGTGTTCAGGAAGCTTGGTCCTAGTTAAAGAAGCTTGGTCCCACTTCGTCACGAGTTGAAGTGATGAGACCTTTAAGAGGTGGGGCCTGGGGCCAGCAGGTAGCACAGAGGTTAAGGTGGCTGGATTCCAGATGACTGTCAGCATGATTCTAGTCCTGGACCCAGCAGCTTGAAAAACTCGCCAGCATGTGTACATGCATGCCAAGAATCTAGAGGAGAAGGTACTGCGGCATGGCCATCCCCATTGACAGGTGATTTCTCACTTCTCTCTCTCTCTCTCTCTCTCTCCAGTGAAGCAAATGGCGCACTAGATATTCTTACTCCACATGCCAACAAATAATTCTTCTTGCTATTTTAATGTGGACTTCACACCTGGAATAAGTACCAAAGACACTCTAATACTGAAAGTCCTAGCCTTAATATTGGTGTCTTTTTATTTAACTCAGAGTTAGGTTTAGAATTTAGAAAACTTCTAGGATGACTACAAAAAAAAAAACCCCTTAGCTTACATCATATTTAATGATGAACTTTGGAATACTTTCCTCCTATGATTAGAAGAGTAAACAGAAAAGAGTAACAATATCTTCCATTGTAGATGGCATGATGATTTACACTAAAAAAATCCATACAAATCTGCAAATACATTAGAATAGGGAAATTTAGCAAGCATCAGTGTATAGGTCAATAAAATCAATACAAAAGCAATTGTATTTCTATTTTGTTTTTGAGAGGTTTTTATTTTTATTTTTATTTTTTTTTTGCTATAGGGCACATGTGCTTGCGAGAAAGAGAGAAACAGGGAGACGGAAAGTGAGAAATCGTCCCCCCCCCAGGGGGGGGTGGCTATGCCACAATCCCTTCTCCTCCATTCTCCTCTCGGGATCTTGGGCACGCATGCACACGCGCCCGGCGTGAATTTAAGCCACCGGATCCGGGACTCAAACCACGGTCGACTATGTGGAAGTCTAGCGACATAGCCATTACGCTAACTGCTGGTCCTGAGCAACTGTATTTCTATAACTAGCAAATAAAAAATTAGAAAATGCAATTAAAAATGGACCTGTAGGTGGTGTGGTGGTTGAAGTGGCTTGAAAAATCACACTAGTGTGTGTGCATGCGTGCCCCAAATCCCAAAAGGACAATGGAGAAGAGACTGCGGTATGGCCTTTCTCCCTGGAGGGTGATTTCTCTCTTCATTCTCTCTTTCTGTCTCGCTCTGGCACGCCCACATGCCCTATAGCAAAACTTAAAAAAAAAAAAAAAAGGTAATAGTACTATTGACAGTTTATTATAGTAAAACAAGTGAAAATACATACTCTGAAAACTATACCAAATGCCTAAGCAAAAAAGAAAAAAAATAGACAAACTGGACATCGAAGTTAAAACCTTTTATGCATCAAATAACACTATTAAGAAAGTGAGGGGCCAGCAGGTGGCAGGGTGGTTAAAGTGCCAGACTCCCACATGCCAACTGTAGTTCAAATACTGAACCTGGGAGCTTGCTTTTTCACTTTCCCTCTCTTTCTCTGTCTCTCTCTGGTGAGTGCATGTACCCTATAGAAAATGAGTAATAATTATAATAATAAATAAAATAAATTTTAAAAAGAATGTGAGAAACAGTCAGAAGAATGGGAGAAAATATTTGCAAATCATGCATTTGATAAGGGACTACCATCCAGAATATATAAAGAATTACTATGACTGGGCCAGCAGGTGGTGTAGTGGTTAAGGTGCTGGATTCCACATGGCCAATTACAGTTCAAGTCCTAGACCTGGCGCTTTGCTTTCTCACTTTCTCTCCCTTTCTCTCTCTCTGTGAGTGTGCATGCCCTGTAGCAAATTAAAAATAATAGTAATGATAAGTAAAATGAAATATATGATCCTTTAAAAAAAAGAAAGAATTTCTATGGCTCCATGATTTAAAAAAACTATACATTTAAACAATAGACAAAGTGCTTTGAAAACAGTTTTGTAGGCTGGCTCCACAGCCTAGTGAGTAAGGGGGCTAGATACTACATGGCCAACTGCATTCATATCCTGGCCCTGATGGCTTGAAAGACACACTAGGCATGTGTGTGTGTGTGTGTGTGTGTGTGTGTGTGCCCCGAGAAATGGAGGAGAAAGAAAGCACCATTAGAGGCTGCCCTCTTTCTTTCTTTTCTGTTCCTCTTTGGTGACTGCACATGCTCTCTGGCAAATTGTTTTTAAAGAAATTTTTGCTAGAGGGCAAGTGTGCGTGCTGGAGAGACGGAGAGACAGAATGAAAGAAATGACACATACACCTTCCCCACAGGGGAGATGGCCACACTGCAATCCCTTCTCTTCCATTCTCCTCTCAGGATTTTGGGCATGCACGCACACGCATGGGCCTGAGTTTCAAGCTGCCTGGTTTGGGACTCAAATCACATCTGGCCATGAATGAGTCTAGGGCCTTAACCACTACACCACCTGCTGGCCCCAATGTTTTAAAAAATTAAAACAAACAAACAAAAACAGTTTGGTAGTTCCTCCAAAAGTTAAAGAATTACTATATGACCCAATAATTCCACTCCTAGGTATCAATATATTCTGAAAAGAATTGAAAATAGGTAAACAAATACTTGTACATGAATGTTCATAGCATGATTGTTCACAATAGCCCAAACCTTGAAAAGATCCATATTTCCATCACCTTAAAAGTGGATAAATAAATGTGAATAAATAATAAATACATAAATGAATTTATATGATAGCGTGTTACTTAGCCATAGCAAGGAATGAAGCACTAACATATGCTATGATGCTAAATTAAAGAAGCAAGGCATAAAAAGCTCATGTAATGTACAATTACATTTACATCGAATTCCAGATTAGCTAAATCCACAGAGGTAGGAAGCGCATTAGGGCTTTCCAAAGACTGGGGCAAAGGAAATGGGCAATGGCTATTTAATGGTAGGAGTTTCCATTTTCTTTTTCTCTTCTCTAGGATTTTGCCGTAAGGCATGTGCACTTCCCAGAGAGAGAGACAGAGAGAGACAGAGAGGGAAAATGAGAAATCATTCCCCATAGGGGATGGCCACACCACAATCCCATCTCCTCCATCCTCCTCCTGGGATTCTGGGGATGCATGCAAAGCCTGAGACTCCAACTGCAGTCAGCCACATGGGAGTCCAGCACCTTAACCACCATGCCACCCGTTGGTCCCTGGGGTTTCCTTTTAAAGTGATAAAATATTTTAGAATTAGGTAGAGGTGGTAGTTGTACAACACTGCAAATGCACTAAATGCCATTGAATTGTACTCCTTAAGATGGTTAGTTCTATGTTACATAAATTTTACCTCAATTTAAGAATGGGCGAAGAATATGAACAGACATTTCTCCAAAGGAGAGGTACAAACAGTAGCATGAAAAGATGCTCAACATAATTAGTCATCAAAGAAATGCAAATTAACACCACAATGAGAAACTATTAAGCATTTTACGATGGCTATAATCAAAAAGTCAGATTTTAGTAAGTGCCGATCAGGGTGTGGAGAAATCAGAACCCTCCTATGCTGCTGGTGAGAATGTAAAATGGTGCAGCCGCTTTGGAAAATAGTCTGGCAGGTTCTCCAGCAGCGATACGCAGTTACCACACCACTGATTCTACTCCTAGTTATATATCCAAGAGAAAGAAAAACCCTAGTCCACAGAAACACTGGTACATTTAAGTCCATAGCAGCGATATTCATGACAGCTAAAAATTGGAAACCGCCCAGATGTCCACAGACGGATGAAAGGTTAAACAAATCTGGCACAGCATACTATGAATATTAGTCAGCCATAAAAAAGGAACAAGCTAACTCAACAGTATTGATAAACCTCAGAAGTACTACACCAGGTTAAAGAAGCCAGATAAGAAGACTAGATAGCATGATTCTATTAAATTTCTAGAAAGGCAGAAAAGGAGAGCTATGGCTACTTAGAACTGGGTAGAGAGTGGGGAATGATGTAAACAGGCATGAGGAAATGTTCGGAGAGAGGGAAATGCTCTAAGGCTGGATTATAGTGATAGTGTCACAACTGTATGGAGGTATTTCAACACACACTGAATTGCAGGCTACAAATAAGTGATTTTTGTAGTATGCAAATTATATGTCAATAAAGTT